ATCTATCTATCTATCTATCTATCTATCTATCTATCTATCTATCTATCTATCTATCTATCTATCTGTATTACTGACAAAGAGAAAGGGAGAATAAAATTGCATGGTATGCAGTTCTTTTCCAATGCCACCTGCATGTCTGTTACTGCAGGATTTGTATCTCCTCAATCACTGACACTACTGGATTACCTGTTCTTAAAGCAAAGAGCCAATGCAAGCCACATCTTGTGCACAAGTATTCAAGCTATCACACACTTGATTTTCTTTGCTTTGTGGGATGGATTTTCCCTTTTATTACTGGCAGTACTCTGATTATGATTTCATGAAACAATTTCCTGCTCTTTAAACGCTGATCAACCACTTTCGAATGCTTGCCGTTCATTTTTCTGGTATTTAAAACTAAAACCTTGTTCTCCAGAAACCAAATCTAGAAAACACTCACAGCAGCAAACAATAAAAGAACAAAAATTCTCCGTGGATCAGACCCCACTACGATTCATAACATTGGTCGACTTTTGGTTCAATGGTTGGGTGAAAAGGTGTGTTATTGTACTAGATAGACAGGCTCAGCCTGGATAGGGAAGCACTTTGACAATCAGACTAATCTCTACCAATAAACAACTCCCATCGCCTTGGGTTACACTACAGCAGGTGCATTCTGGGGTTTGAATCACATTCATGATCTGTTTATGGGACGTTCAAGACAATTCTATGTTGCAAACACATGAATTATTTGCCAATTTTTACCAGACTACTTTTTATTTTCCATTTCCTGTAAAAAAATGATTGCTTTTTGATTATTTTGGTTTAAAATCCTCATATAAAGGCAATATATCCATTAGCATTGCCAAGCCATGCATGACATGTCATTCATATTCCTTATTCGGTTTACAGAAATAATAGGAAAGTAAACACGTCACTTTGCAGTGTGATAAAACATGTCATGTTTGATTGCAAAAAACAAATACCATGGTCCATGCTTTTACCAGTAAATAAAGCAGTAAATTGGTCAATCTTTTTTTCTTTTCTTTTTTTTTCTTATGCTTATTTGTGGCTGGCCCATGGCATGTCAAAGTATATGTGCATGTGGCTTCATTTGCATATACTAGTATATTTGCACAACAAATGGTGCCTTCACTGAGCTGTTTTGCATGGTGTGTGCCTGCGTCTTTAGCTGACACTAAGAGTGAACGGCTGCTTTGTTTTTTCTGAAGCTGCACCCAAATATGTGTCCACCTGTCACTCATCTCCCCACTGTATTTCTGTCAATCACATGTGTTGTGTATGTATTACATGTGAAATTAAGTTAAAATGGTTTAATGCCTGGAATATTTGGAGAATATTTTCATGAGCATTAAAGCAATAAAGAGCAATAATGGATAAATTATTTTTGGTATATAGTCTATTCCATGTAAAAGTTGCCAAAGAAAGATTAATCAGTAAGATTTATTTTTTTATTTTTTTAGAAATTAGCATGCATTAAATTGACAGAAATATTTTGTAACAATGTAAAAGTTTTTACTATTTATTCATTCTATTTATCAAAGAATCTTGAAAAAAGTATATGATTGTTATGTTTTTTGTTACTTGAACACTAAATCAGCATAATACAACGATTTCTGAGGGATCTTACTGAAAAAGGAATTAATTACATTAGAACATAAAATAAACAAATAAATACAATAATTATATATATATATATATATATGAAGAGTTCAGATGCAAAAGCCTCTAAATGCCATTTGAAATTTTCTTCTTTAATGATGATTTTTATCAAACTTGTATATTTAAGTTCAGTAATTTCACTTAAATAACAATTCATAGGTAATCTTCATCCCCATTTAAGTGAAATTACTGAACTTAAATATAAAAGTTTGATAAAAATCATCATTAAAGAAGAAAATTTCAAATGGCATTTAGAGGCTTTTGCATTTGAACTCTTCATATATATTTATGCATGTGTGTGTGTGTGTGTGTAACAACTTTGTTTTAAGAGTTCAAATAATTAAAAAGACATTCTGTGGCATTTTTCTATATAATGTGTATTATTTTTTATTATATTTTAAGTAATAAAAAAATACATATTAAAATATTTATGAATATTTGTTAATTTATACCTTCAAAAAATAAATACATTATATTTATACATTATTGTAGTGGAATATTCCACTGTTTGGGATCAGACCCTTAACCAAATTCCTGCGAAAATTGAGACACATCACAGGATTGGACATTCGTTCATAAAATATGGCTCCAGGCCCACTCTGAGAGCATTGGACCAGACAGGTACACTTTACCAGACACAATATTCAGCAAGTTTCTCTGTCTTACACCCACACACATTCCTACAGCCACTTCTGGCCTTCACCCTTATCTCATGCTTTTTTCCTTCCAATTTAACTCTTACCTGGCACTCTCTGGGTTTTATAATGAACATCTTTAGATTATGTATTCTTTGAATAACTAGAGGATTTTTTCATTCCGTCCTTTTGTTTTCGAGCATAGTTTAGACCAGTTTTCCTACAACAGAAAATGAAATACTTCTGTTAAAAATAAAATAATCAGGCAATAAAATAAACTGCATAAAATTAATAAAAAAGTGATTAAGTCACGTTATTAAAATATTTATTTAGTAAGACTGTTTCCAACAAACTTTCGTCATTGAATAGGCGCATTGGTGCACTGCCACTCTAACAGTCATGTTAGCACACCTGAGCTTGTTGCAGTCTGACCTGTCTTACCGCCTCATTTGTCATCTCCAATCACAAGCTCTTTTGAGGAGAGCTGAAAGACAAGGAATTAACAGCTCTTGCTTAGTGATGACAACTCAGCCTGCTGTTCAAAAAGGAAAGTATGTGAGAACACCAGCAAGTTGAACATGTAAGGACACAGGCAAACACACTCTCCTCTGCCAGTCCCCTGCATCGTCCAAAGAGTGACTCACACTGTTTGCATCAAATATTTCTGACATTTATAGGCAATGATTAGCGATGACATATATTGAAGTAACAACAGTGGTTGTCTTTGGCCGTGTTCAGGAGAAATTTTAGATCATCATTTGTCATTACTACACAATATGAGATTAGATGAAATCTTTTGTGATTACAATTTTAGTGATTACAGCCTTTTGCGATTTGATAAGCACAAGTCATATCGCAATTTCAATTTTAGTTCAGTTGTCAAAGCAATGGTGCAAAACGTAACAGAGACGAGTGTAAAATGTTGGAAACACTTGGTTCCATTTGTTAACATTATAGGTAACCAAGTTAACATGAAATAACTACTGTAGGAAAAATAATTCTAAATACTTCATATTTTAATACATTAACAAAATCAAAATTTGTTTCTGTTACTATATTTAACAGACCTTTGTTAGAATGAACTAACAATAAACAGTTGTATTAATTTTTGTTTACATTTACATTTAATCATTTAGCAGACGTTTTTATCCAAAGCGACTAACAAATGAGGAGATCAATAGATGCAATTAAACTAACAATAGGGCAACAATATGAAAGTGTTTTATATAGAACAAAAAAGAAAGTGTTCGTATTAATGGATCAAGTGTTGTCAAAAAATATGTGAACAAAGATTAGATAATGTGTTCCATTGGTTACATATTGATTAATGTTAATTAATTAGATAAACACTTTACATTAAGGTTCATTAGTCAATGTATTAACTAACATGAACTAACCATGAGCAATATATTTGTATTTGTTTATCTTTGTTAATGTTAGTTTATAAAAATAAAGCTGTTCATTGATTGTTAATGTTAGTTCACAGTGCATTAACTAATGTTAACAATGTTTTAATAAAGTATTATTAAAAGGTTGAAATTAACATAACAATGCTCACTAATGTAGTTAACTAATGTTAACTAATTAACCTTATTGTAAAGTGTTAGCTAAACAACTTTTGTTTCATTATGAAACTGTGGCAGGCTAACTAGGAAACACTGCTTCATACTAAAATGGATATATTATAACTTAAATAATGTGATATATTGTATATATAAATAAATAAATAAATAAAATGGACAAATACATGGCATATTTATGTATTTAGCATTAATGAACATTGTTCCAGGCAACGTTGAATAAAAGACCTTTCGGCTTAGAAAATCTATATTTCCTATTCAGGGTGATCCTTCGTTTCATGTTGGGGTCCTGATCATCCTGATAGGGTTTATTTTGTGGAAAAAAAAAAGCTCAAACAATTTCAGATATAAATTTATAAATATGTACTTTCAGCCACAGTATGCACTCTGTTAAGTATGCAGTATGTAAACTCTGTTAGCCTTTGGTGTGTTTGCCGACACGCAGTGGGTCTGGGAACAGGATAAATGTTTACATTGTGGCTGTGCAAGAGTGAAGCTCGCTGGATGGTTTGTGTTCATGGAGGGGTGGGGTGGAGCATAGGGTGGATGTGATATGCCTCACTGACTGTAAGTACAGTTGTAAGTTAAAGTGACACATCCCTGGCATGCCAGTATCTGGGCGGGACACATGGAGGTGGAAAATATTGGCGGGAGAGAATCAGTTTTTTTTTTTTTTGTCAGAGCTATTAATATCTTAAGATCCCAGTAAATGGGTGCCAAAAATGGAAACTCGTCAAAAATAACAATATGAAAATCACCACAATTTCTGATTTTTCTTTCACCAATATCCCTAGTATTACTTTTCTAAATAATTCTCAGTTAGAAATTACTAGTTCATTTTAACACAGTTTCCACATGGTACATTTTACCCAAAAAAAGATACGATTTTATGTAGATGGTGTCAAATAATAAACTGAAATATGTCATTTTTAACCTCCGACCTCTATAGTTGGCACAAAAAGAAAAGTGTATTGTGAAAAATCACATAAGCAAAACTAGCAGAATATGGTGTTGTTAATTTGGACAAAAAAAAAAAAAAAAAAAAAAAAAAAAAAAAAAAAACTCAGTCTGTTGTGGCAGCATCATCTACTGGTTTTCAAACAAAATACACACACTCCAAGTGCACCCTTAATCTGCAATTTATTGTAGTTCCACAGTTGGGTTTTTTTTTCAAAAAAACCTCAATACAAGCCTATTCATTCAGATGAGTCATGAAAACCCATGCTAAAAAAGGAGTTGATAAGTAGTGCTTTACGACTAAACACTCCACCAGCACTTCAATAAATATCCAGTGTCTTATTTTTTTATGTAATGGTAAATGCTTCAACACTGATCCAAAAGTAACACATGGTACTATAGTTACATGACTATTCACAAAAAAAGGAAATAAAACACAATAATGACTGTACATACCTCATTGAGGATAACAACACAATTGAAAAATATTGGTATTTCCTGACAATACAAACTACGCTTGTATGTATATATATATATATATATATATATATATATATATATATATATATAAAGGGGATATTAGATTTAATAAAACATTAACTAAACACCGAATATTTTTTTAGAACATAGCTTTATATCAGCTAACATCAGCCTTTTTCTGCAATGTTAAAATACTTTCTCTTATTCCAGTTTAATATGACGAGGTGCAACAACCATTTGTTGATCAATTCCCCCAAAGAGTGCAACCACTGTACGTCTGTGGTAATTTTAAATTCAGGCCTGTTGAAATTGTTTTTTTCTGATCAGTGGCATATGGAAGTACCTGTCATTTCTTCACAATTTCTTTACAATTCATTGCCATTACTAGAACAGAAAAAAAAGAAAAAACGCACTTAGCCATCAAAAACATTAAAAGAAAAATATATATCAAAGAAAAGTTTAAATACAGTTTCATGAGTTCTGATAACATACACTCAGGCATATTTATAGTCATATATATGTACACACGCACACATTACTTCATAAAACTATTTTTAGGTTGCCTTTCAGTTTAACATTATGGAATGTGATATGGAAAGTTTGAAAAGGCCCACATGATTCATGGACCACACAGACTGTTAAATGACTGATGAAATTTGTCTGTTTTTTTCCCCTTTGTTGCTAAATATGAATCTATTTAAATAGTCAAATCTACCACCACTTAAAGGCTAAAATTAGCTTTAGGACATTAAACAAACAGTAGAACATTTCACACTATGAATAGGCAAGATGTTACAGTATATTCGTTTTACAATTATTGCCATTTCAAAGAAAGAAAAAAGAATGTAAATGTTTAATAACTTCAATTCAACCATTAACCTTCAAATAATGTTTTATTAATACTTTATGCCAAGAACTTAATACCAAAATAATTTGTGTTGTCTTATTTTATTGGAAATATTTTCGTTTTTTTAAAAGGGTGTGGATAAAAGTTTTGTTGCAAATGGAAACAGGCAAAAAACAAAAACAACCTTAACGTCCGAACACACAGGAGGCATAGCAGCAGGCAACGCAGAGGTCTCGATCAACCTCAAGAAAGGTAAAATAAATCAATATTACAATAAAGTGGTGGCATTCCAAGTCCATTCCAAATAATATTTGCGAAAGGGCACTCAAAGTTTTCATTGCTTATTTCCTATGCGCAAACACCATAACCAAGCTTTTTGTGCTGTTTGTTTTGGTTATTTTCTCCTCTTGCAGAAGTGGTTTGATTGGTCAGATCACGATTAGGGTACATGCATAAGACTTAGTGGGGCAAAGCTACCAGGATTTCTACGTAGTTGACAGGGAAGAAGCCAGAGTGATCATTGACCTTTCCTTCATACCAATTGTCGTCAATCTTGCTGGTCAAGGTGATGATGTCACCTTCCTTGAAGCCTAGCTCACCCTCATTTTCAGCATCAAAATCATACAGTGCCCGACAGCAAGGATGGTCCATTGGAGCTGAAACAGATAAAAAAAAATTCTTTACAGCACAGAAAATGAAATCCTGCATTTCATAGATTTAATTATTTTAGTGCCTTACCTGGTGACCTAGAACGGCTAACGTGCCCAATATTCCCATTGTGGTTCTCACTTAAATCCAGGGAGGTGCGAGGTTTGGGGACATACTCTCTTCTTGGCTTACAAGAAGCCTCTCTTATTCTGCCAAAATAAATGAAAAAAATCTGTAAATAAGTCTGTATAATAAGAAACTAGGCCTGATAATTTAGTATAATTTTATAAAAAAGACAATGTGATAAAATGAAAAATAAACAGATAACCAAAAAATGAACATTGATTAACCAAAACAGATACTTAGTTTTTTTACACAATCCATTTTCCTCCGAGCAAGCCTAAATGCAAAGCATGTTTTAGCGTATTTTGCAGACTTACCATCCCCAGTTGTTACGACAGACATCTTGACGTGCTCTACCAAACCACATTTATCATAAACAGGTGGAGTCATTCACACAGGAATTTTTGTGTTCAAATACAGATGCCGTATCTAGACCTGTCGAACTCCCTTTAACTAAAAATGTGACATTCTCCATGTGATGCCACACAGCGAGATGCGCTGCAACGGTTAAGTGCAGGTGGGATATAAAAACGCATCCGCCGGCTACCGGACAGATTGACAATCTCTAAAGTGGATTGCTGTGGAACGTAGGCTTATGAATAAAATTTAATTGAAATAAACAATATATCCATTTATAAAATGACTTTTTCAGGTGCCATAATAATGTGACATTTTGAATTATCTTTATTTGCAGGCTTTTCTGAGCAAATACTGAAATGCCTATGTGCGATCAGTCATTACAGAAAATACAATTTAACATGACATTTACATTTTTTTTAAATCGCTTTAAAAGTAATTCCTGTGTTAATGGTTCCACTGACAATTCACTATGTGAATAAAAGCCTGTTCATCATATAAAGCGATCGGAAAACTTGGACTAAACCACTCGAATCATATGGATTTGTTTTACAATCTCTTTATGAACTTTTTGAAGCGTCAAAGTCGTAGTTGAGTAGACTGTCAATGGAGGGAGAGAAATTTCTCAGATATCATTAAAATATCTTCATTTGTGTTTCGAAGATGAATGAAAGTCATGTGGGTTTAGAACGACATGAGGGTGAGTAAATTACGACAGAAATTTCATTTTTGGTGAACTATCCCTTCAAGAATAGATGCCTGTAATTACATCAGTTTTTTTTTGTGGGAAGAGAGGTTCCATTTAAATGTTTAGACTAGATTAACTAGGAGTCTTGTACTGTGTGGTTTGTTCTACAACACAAACCTGTCCTCTATCTTGGTGGAAAGCTGCTGAAGGATCTCTGTGGCCTGTCTGTGGTAGTTCACCTGAGCTTGGACCAAAGCAGAAAGCTGACTCACTTGTTCAATCTGCAGAAACAAAGTTAGAACATCAACCTCAAAGATTGTATATGGGAGGTCAAGACTAGCAAACAATGGCTATATTTACATGCACCCTTATAAATGCAGTACTGTGAAGTACCGCGAGCTCATGTAAACAATACCGTGATTATGATTACCATCACATTTAAAGTAACCATGAATCACAATAAAATTTGTGGAGTGCAGCGGCTTTAATCTGACTATACGTTCATGCATGGCGGGTTCGAAAACATGCTGGAACAGAAGAAGCCACACTTCTTGACATCATGCACATTGATGCTCGGAAACGTGCCAATTCTGACCATTAAAATCAATAAAACACATGGTGTCATTGTTGCGTAAAGCTATAAGCATAAACTCCCCAGAAGTGTAGCTTCTGCAAAATGAGGGAGACCATGTACCCAAGAACTGGTGAACAGGTCCGTGAACATTGGGAGGGCTTGAAGGCTGCCTATTTTAAAGCAAAAACATCACAACTCTTAGCAAATAATCGAAATATGACATGCATCATGTAAACAGGATTGAAAAGGTTTTGCGGATGACGTTAACATCTTAATTCTTACTTTGATTATTGGTAATAATCTGACTATATTAACCATGTAAACATAGCCATTGCATAAGATGCACTGATAAATGAAAACAAGTGAATCCAGTGACGTATACTGTAGCATCAAAATAAAAAAGGAAAGATGTAGTGGGAAAGACTCATTGGATATAGTATATGGCACAATAAGGACAGATTATGGAGGCATGAAATGGATGATGAACAAGGGCAGGCTACAGATCTTACATCACTCTCCAGAAGGTTAAACATGCTTTGTTCGGCAATCTCCTTTGATTCATCAAACTTCTCCAGGGCTTGTTTGATCTCATCTTCTGTGACTTTTCCTTGCCTTTTCTTCTTATAGTCGAAGTCCAACCGTCGCCCTTCTAGCTTCTTCAGGTGATGCTGTCAAAACCAACAGAAAAAGAGTTGAAAATTGCACTGATCAGTTACTGACCTCTAGTGGGAATCCAAAGCATTGCCTCCATTAATGGTTGGGACTTTACTTCAAAATATTCTCACTGTGATGTATTATTCACAAGTACATTTAAATCACACCGGCTGATTCTGAAAGTTGAATTCTCAACAGATGCGTATTCAAAATCGTTAAAATCAGGGACTGATAAGAGTTAACAAGTGCTATTTAAATAGGTCATACTCATGGGAGAATATTAACAATAAAATTCTGAGTTACACTTGTTGTTAGTACAGTTAGTACAATCCAAATACAGTCATTATTCATTTTAGATGTAAATGGCCCATTGCTTGCTGATGTGTGCGAAAAGAGATTCAGCACTTTCCAGAATAGTCGTAAACAGCCCCATCCCTCATTCAACAACCTCTTTGGCCCTGCTTACACCTGGTATTAAGAACTTTCAACTACTTGGGATTTATCTCAAGCCTGCACATATGCAGAGATATCACTAAATAGCCAATTCATTGTTTGACTTAATTGTTAACATCCTTACTGGGATTGGATGTAAAACTTCCTGCAATCAATAATAAACTTCTAAATTGATTTGTTTTGTTACTCTTGTGCTGGGACAATCATTTACGATGGATTGTGTCAAAAATGTCACCAAAATGAATACAAATGTGCCAAGTTCACAAAACAACCTAGATTTAAATGTTCTGCTGAAACTGTTAAATGAAGTTTTTTTTTTTACCACCATTTCAGAGCATTTATGTGTCGGGTTACACTAGATTGTAGGTTACTTCATAAGATGCAGGTTTTTACACTGAAGTTTCGCATGAAAATGAACAACTGTGAATTGGCCAAAATGTAAGTCTCATAGTCACAGGATGACTGCATGACTTCCTGGAATCTCAAATCTTCAATGCAATAATTTCTTATATCTAACCTGGATCTCTTTTAAGTCTTTATCATGGATATTCTGCAAGGGATCAATGAAGTTTTGCTTGACTTCCATGTCTAGAGCATCTTTAACTTCACCCAGCTCCCGCATGGCATCTCCAACATCGATCAGAGCCAAACCTGTAAAAAACAAGAGTATGCTTTATGTATATTTTAAGGGGGAAAAAAACTTAAGGACTCAATGTAGACATAAATGTACTAAATTAAGTAGTTTGTCCCCCCTTACACCAATACAAACCTTGCAACTCTGTTTAGCTGTGATACTCAAATTATGCAGCCCAGGTGAAATATTATCTGGTTATAGTAATTACTTTGGTTTCACTTTATTTGATGGTCCCTTTAACACATTCAGTTGACAATAAGTAACATTGCACCAACATCTCTCCTAACTCTCACTAGAGTGTTAGTAGAGTATTAGTAAACTGGTAGGGTTAGGGCTAGAATAAGTTGACATGTAGTTGCAAAGTTACTTATAGTCAGTAGAGTGCCTGTTGGAGGACCATCACAATAAAGAGTTAGGAGATATTAAGCAAACAGTCTACTACTCTAATGAGAGTTAGTTGATACTGTATGTAGTTGCAAAGTTACTTATGGTCAACAGAATGTTCAAAAGGGACCATCAAAATAAAGCTGTTAGCATTACTTTATTTTCATTTGGGTTTTACATTTTGCAGTAACAAACAATGCATATATGATTTGGGGCATACTTCTAGGGTGTGATGATGGCTACTTTCATATAAGTGTGTGTGTGTGTGTGTGTGTGTGTGTGTGTGTGTGTGTGTGGTCAGCTACAGATAAAGCCACAATAAGTCTGCAGAGCTAACTTGTCAATCCATCTTAATGGGTGATGCTATATGTATGAGCAACAAACAGATGTACTCTGACCAATGAGAGGACAGTTTTATCATAAACACATTATGGTATGCTTCCCATGTAAGGTTGCCGAAATAAGAATAAAATGCAACATTAACAATTTAAAACACCTTTTCAGAACAAAGAAAACAGGTTTGAAATTCAGATTTTCTATCTATTTTCTATTTTCTTTCTATCTGTGGTGCAATGGTTTAAACATCTAAATGCTACCACATATTTTTCTTTCTGATCGATAAATCCATTCTGCCATGGATTTAGCTTTTTACACACCAACAGAAGAATGATGCATATTGTATAGTTTAATCTAATTTGCAAACTAAGTAACCATGTAGTCAAAAGAGCTTGTTGATGAACGCAAATAGAACTCATTATTTTGAAATAATCCCATTTGCATTGTGTATGTTTATAGCGCACTATGCGTGGAATAGCGGCCCACTAAGCTAACGGCTCTTACATTGCGTATGTTTATAACAAAGCAAGCATTACCAAAGCAGGAATCCTCCCCGAGTTCCCTGCCAAACTTTTGCATGGACTCTCCCAGGATGACTTCAGTCTGTATGTAGCCGGGACCTTTATCTCCTCCACGGATTTTAGACATGGAGCTCATCATACTCATCTTGGCACGAGTTGCTACAGAAACAAACACAAAACAGATGTACATTAATGACATTTTTATTTTACAATGAAAAAAAAAAGATCAACATTTACCTGGATTGGGTTGCAGGTACTCCGTTGTCTTGGTCATAATATCCATCACTGCCCTAGTGGTGGTGTCAACTTTCTATAGTACAGTAAAGATGAGAACATGAAAGAAATAAACATTCCACAAATTTCAAAAGGAGTTTGGCATCACATATCAGCTAGATGCCCCAAAGCCCCCAGAAGCTGCTCATTCGTTCATTCATTCCATCCATCCATCCCATTTTAACCATCTTTGTAAGAAATAGTCCAAAATTCACATTTATAAGCTCACTCAAAATATTCACACTTAGACTACACTTTTGAGTCAATAGGTGACCTAATTAAACCTTCCAAAATTAGATTTCTAATAAACAACCACATGCTCACTGCTTCTTGAAAGAGAATCATAAGTCTTGCTGAAGGAAACTTACCTTTTCCATTTCCGTAAAGTCATAATCTAATTTAGTTCCTTCTGCCCCTCCGACCTTTTCACTAACTCTCTGCAAAATAAAACACATTTATCAATTAATTCTAAATTTACATTTCATGTCTTTCTTTCCTTTTCCTTTAAATTTTCCATAGATTGTAAACCCCTGGTCTGTACAAAATATAGGCTACTGTACTTGTAACCATGTTTGGACCTTAGCCTAATAGCATATTTAACTTGAACTCTGATGCAACATGATCCACTTAGAAATTAGAAAGAAATCAGAAACTTTCATTCATAGAGGTAATCATATCCAGTAAAATGTATTCATAAATCAGACCAGACTTCAATAAATAAAAGGGATTTCTTGTGTCAGTTGACTAATGCAGTGGTTCCCAACCCTGCCTCTGGAGAACCTTTTTTGATGCATCCATTGCAGGGTCTTGTTGTCTCTACTAATGAGGTGATCCAGGAACATGGTTAGTGTAATAACAGGGAAACCACAATTCAATGACACTTGTATTGTTTCTTGACCACACAGTCAAACATTAGTTTGAGGGGAGAGAATGTTCACCAGAATAATAACAAAAAAAAAAAACCCAAAAAAACCCTGAACCAAAAACACAGTTCTGTAGCGATCCTGTAATTCAAACTGCAGAGCATGCAAGTAACGTCGAGGTTATGGGTTTGATTCTCAGGGAATGCATGTTAATCGAAGATGTTTAAGTCGAACCTTTTATCATGAGTCCAAGTCTCAAATCCTTTTTAGCAAAAGGACAATTTATTTTATGTATACATTTAAATATATAAATAAATAATGCTAAAAACAAATATATCAAGATTGATGATCCTTGTCATATTTAGCACCCTGTACTTTTAAAAATGTATTTACTATCCTCCAAGTTGACACCGAAGGAACTCTGCAAGTTATAGGCTAGTCTTCGTTTTTTATGTGCTTACTTGAGTACATCGAATACAACCACAACATTTTTCCAATCAAATCAAGACTTCAGTGGGACTCGAGTCCAAGGGTGCGTGTCTCAATCAGCTCCTAGGTTGTGAATCAGTACATAATGTACATGAATTTGGGAACTGGTAAAGAGAGAGTAAGGAGAAAGACCCTGGCTCACAACACATGACAACACCCTCATTATACAAAGTCACTACTAGTATTTATGAACAACAGCAGAACTGATTTATCCAACATTTTTTTTATTTATAATACATTTATTATTTATTGTACATTACATATATTATTATTTAAGTACATTACAATAAATACATTGATGGTTACTGTACATGTACCTACATCATTTCAGTCATAAATTGAAATGTATTATGTTAGCTAGCTTAAGTTCAGTACCTGTCTAGCAATGTATGTTTATACTGAAATATAATTTAATAATGGTTTGTTTTTTCAAAACCTCCATTGCATCATTATGCGAGTTGGCTAACGTGATTTATGTTTTGCGCATTAGAACTTCCGTTACAGGAAGTGAGCATCGATGCTTCCTGGATCATGGTGCATTGTGGGACTTTTTAGGGAGCAAACATTTCAGTACAAAACAAAGCAGACTTTTTTTTTTTTAAATTGAGAAAGTCCTTGAACAGTGCCTTCTGACTACTGAACTATAGGGAACTGATTGAGACAAGTCTCATTGCAAAGAAAGAGATTTAAGTCTAAGACATATTTCAAGGTAGAAAAGAAATCGAATTCTAACCATAGACTAATAAGGTGCTGGTTCAAACAAAAATGACATAATATGGCATGAAACATTATTAGTATGTGGTGTAAGAAAGGCAATTCTTACTACTAACCCAATTCAATAGCAAAAATAAACAATATTTACATCTAATAATTTAATTATCAATTATAGTTGTACCTAGTCATGTGGAAGTGAAACCATTACAAATGCATTACTTTTAGAGCATTATGAATTTAAGCATTTTCTCTCTGAAGACTTCTACAAACACACTAATTTAAATTAAAGACTTGGCTTGTCTGCCAAAAGTTTGTCTTTGCCAAAGGCTTTACTCAGAGCTACATAATAAAAAAATCTTTCTCCCTCAAGATTGAGCATTTACTGAGTTAAGAAGATTTGAAGGCAAATATACTAATAAATCCCATGGGGTCAGAACAAAATGTCTGTCAAGGATCGTGGTGATTGAACATGTTTTGGAATACCTCAAATTAGTCAATTTATTACCAAGGCTCCAATTAGAAATATCTCATTCCAATGAAATATTACAATAAAAGTGAATTATTGCAAAACAAGTACCTAATGAATAGTACTTTATCAGAATCCCTTCATTCCCATCATTCTCTAAAGCAGGGGTGTCAAATCCCACTCCTGAAACCACTTTTCTGTCGTTCAGCTTCAACACCGCAATTAAGCACACCTGAACCAGCTAATCAATGTCTTAGGCCTCGGACACAGTAGACGATTCTCAAATCTTAACCAATTTTTTAAACTGTGGGAGACCACAGACATGAGGGCCCTTAAAATACTTGTTAAAAGGAAAAAATATTATTATAACTCATTTTAGTAAAATAATAATTTTGGAATCACCCATGATTAACTGACAGGTGAAATTATGCATGCAGTAGTGTAGATACTAGGCCTACATTCAGCAGCATCAATATTACAAACTGATATGACCTGCTGAGGAGGATAATGATGATGATGATGATAATGATACATGCATTGCATACACAGAAATTTGCATCTCGAAATTTAGTATGAACTCACATAGTCAGCCAATGGTGCACAGCTTATTAAGCGATCATGATTTATTTATTTAACATAATATGTGTGAATTAAAAGTACCATTTCGGCAATGAGAACGTTTCTGAGCCAAATGAAGATAAAGATGTGTTCTGGCGGCTGGCGTGTTCTAACACTAACTAACGCCAACACACTAACGCAACGCGTACAGTTCCACAAAGCTGGCAAACGATCTCACTTTCAGCACGGATAATAAGAAGCTCCCTTCATTCAAGTTTGCAGACATTTTTTCATTCTTTCTTTGTTGACAATAATAAACTTTCTTCTAAGAGCAACAAAGTCGCACAATGGCATGTGCATCATCACTACGACACGCCCCTTATGGCACAACCCACTTTGGATCCGGAAGTCATTGCCAACTACAGGCCCATTTACAACCTTCCATTCCTTTTCAAAGGGTTGGGAAAATATGTTTCCGCTTAGCTCCTGGACCATCTTCAACATCACAACCTGTTTGATAAGTTTTTTGTCAGACATCAACAACAATCCTGGAAACTCTAATCAGCTGTTCTCTACAATAAACCATCTCCTTAAACCTCAGACAAACTTACACAGAAAACACAGAGGAATGTTGCAACTTTATCACTTTCTTTAGAACCAAAATAGACTCCATCCGATCACATCTCACTGGTCCCACTGCACTACCTTCCCTTTCTGTCAGTTCACAGTCTGGATTCCCCCACTCTCTCCACCGTTTCTTTGACGTTTCACAACTTGAAATTGAGGGAATCATCAAAAAAAATGAAATCATCCTCCTGTGCCCTAGACCCCTTTCCCACAATCCTGATAAAATCCAGTCTTTCTGCCATAAGTCCCCTTACCACAAAACAATAAACCACTCCCTCTGGTCTGGCCATGTTCCTTCCAGCCTCAAAATTGCTGCTATTACACTTTGAAAAAACACTTAAAAAAACAACAACAAAAAAACATTTTGGATCCAGAAGTCCTTGCTAACTACAGGCCCATATCCAACCTTCCATTCCTTTCCAAAGTGTTCCAAAGTGCCGCTCAGCTCCAGGACCATCTTCAACATCACAATCTATATAATAAGTTTCAGACTCCCAGTCTGCCCAAAGCACAGAAACAGCTCTGGTCAGTCACAAATTAACCTCCTTCCATCCTTCCTGACTTAACCACATGCAGCTTTTGACACTGTCGACCACAGCATCCTCCTCAACCGTCTACACTGTGATACAGGACTATCAAATTTGGCCTTGGAGTGGTTCACATCCTACCTTTCTGGAAGGGCCGAGTACGTCAGCTTGGGAGTAGCGAAATCTCACCCACATGCTGTCAGATGTGGTGTTCCTCAAGGGTCGGTACTTGATCCAACCGTCTTCATCCTCTACATGCTCTCCCCTTGGCTGCATCATCAGCCAGCATGGAATCTTCTTCCATTGTTATGCTGATGACACAAAACTTTACCTCAGAACAAACCCAACTGCTCCTGCTGCTCTGCCTTCATCTTCAACCACAACATTCTTACTGACCGCCTGCCTGGAGGAGATAAAGGCCTGAATGAGTCAGAACTTCCTTCAGTTAGGCCGGATTCACAGCGCCTAAAAACGCGTAGAAAACGCTGGGCACGCCGCATTCTCCATTTTCCAAAGCACCAGGGCGGTTGCGCTTCAGTTGGTTCTTGTCACATGACCTATTGTGTGCGTATGGTGCGCTTGCGGTATTCGGAAAAGTTGAGATGTTTTTATCTCGACTCGGCACGGACGCGCATGGAAAAACGAGTGTGTCGCACCGCGTCTGCATCGCTTCCATTATGAGCGCGCATACCGTGCGCCTACATTTAAAATAACGAACTTGAGCGCGCAAAAGACGCGATATGTGAACCGGCCCTTAAACAGTTCCAAAACTGAGGCAATTCTTGTCGGCATCCCTCATCAGGTCTAGTCGTCCCTTAAAACCTCCATCACCTCTTCTGGAAAAGACATCCCACTCTCATCAACAGTTACCAAACTTGGTGTAAGACTAGACCATCACCTTATCTTTGACAGCCATATCAAACATCTGTGCAAATCATCCTTCTTCCACCTCAGGAATATTACAAAACTTCATCCAAAACTTATCCATTGCCTTTGTATCCATGCTGGACTACTGCAACTGGTTGAGTACCGAAACGCGGTGCCAATAGGGAACCGGTTCTGACGTAAACGGTAGTAACAAGACCGAATAAGAACAAAAATTTTGTTGCCTGATTTCGGTGCTCTCTTTGTGAGACTCAGGCACCGACTTTGCGTATGAGACACACATACGCAAAGTCTCTCTAATGAAGATG